ACCGAAGGGAGCGAGTCACTGTGCGAGGTATCGTCCCACACCCATGGATCTCATATTGTGCTGGGGGGGGGGGGGGGCAGGGAGGGCAGGGAGGGCAGGGGGGGCAGGGAGGGCAGTAAGCACAGCGAATGCAGCGAACGCAGCGAGGACAGCGAGGGCAGTGAGATAGTGAGGCAGGGGGGGCAGGGGGGGCAGGGAGGGCAGGGAGCACAGCGAACGCAGTGAGGATAGTGAGGATAGTGAGGATAGTGAGGATAGTGAGATAGTGAGGTAGTGAGATAGTGAGATAGTGAAATAGTGAGGCAGCGGCGTCTCTACGCCAGGCGCACGCCCTCGACGCGCTGACCGACTTTTGCCGCGGAGAAGGCGTGCCGAGACACTTCCGAGACACTTCCGAGACACTTCCGAGACACCTCCGAGACACTTCCGAGACACTTCCGAGACACCTCCGAGACACTTCCGAGACACTTCCGAGACACCTCCGAGACACTTCCGAGACACTTCCGAGACACTTCCGAGACACCTCCGAGACACTTCCGAGACACTTCCAAGACCCTTCCGAGACACTTCCAGGAGAAGGCGTGCCGAGACACTTCCGAGACACTTCCAAGACACTTCCTAGACACTTCCAAGAGAAGGCGTGCCGAGACACTTCCGAGACACCTCCGAGACACCTCCGAGACACTTCCGAGACACTTCCAAGACCCTTCCGAGACACTTCCAGGAGAAGGCGTGCCGAGACACTTCCGAGACACTTCCAAGACACTTCCTAGACACTTCCAAGAGAAGGCGTGCCGAGACACTTCCGAGACACCTCCGAGACACCTCCGAGACACTTCCGAGACACTTCCGGGAGAAGGAATGCCGTACGGGATGTATGTACCGCTCACGCGGCTGTCTGGCGGACGAAGGCATGCCGGCGCGCGGCCACCCTGCATACCTCGACTCGCCCAAGGGAGAGCGCCCCCCCGCCCCCTCCTCCGCCCCCTCCTCCGCCTGCTGCTCCGCCTCCTCGGCCTCGGAGACGGGCGCCCGCGGCGGCGGCGGCGCGCAGCTCTGCGGCCGCGCATTTCTTTTTTACCGTCGCATTTCCTTGTTTAGGACGCGGCGGCGGCGGCGACCTCACTGCCGCGCTCGACGGCGCGCCGTACAGCTTGCGCTCTCTCCTCCTCGCCCTGGCGAGAGGTAGCCGAGAGGTAGCCGAGAGGCAGCCGGGGTGCAGCCGAGAGGCAGCCGAGAGGCAGCCGAGAGGCAGCCGAGAGGCAGCCGAGAGGCAGCCGAGAGACAGCCGAGAGGCAGGCGAGAGGCAGCCGAGAGGCAGCCGAGAGGCAGCCGAGAGGCAGGCGAGAGGCAGGCGAGAGGCAGCCGAGAGGCAGCCGAGAGACAGCCGAGAGACAGCCGAGAGGCAGCCGAGAGGCAGGCGAGAGGCAGGCGAGAGGCAGCCGAGAGGCAGCCGAGAGGCAGGCGAGAGGCAGGCGAGAGGCAGCCAAGATGCACAGCCGAGAGGCAGGCGAGAGGCAGCCGAGAGGCAGCCGAGAGGCAGCCGGGGTGCAGCCGAGAGGCAGGCGAGAGGCAGCCGAGAGGCAGCCGAGAGGCAGCCGAGAGGCAGCCGAGAGGCAGCCGAGAGGCAGCCGAGAGGCAGCCGAGAGGCAGGCGAGAGGCAGGCGAGATGCAGGCGAGGGATGCAGGCGAGGCGCGCGCCGCGCCGCGTCGCACTTCTGTGCCCCGAGGCCGCGTATTTCTTTTTTTACCAC